CGTGTGTGTATCTGTATGTGTATATGTGTGTCTGCAAGTGCATCTCTTTGTCTGTGAATCTGTTTGTGTGTCAGTGTATCTGCATGTGTGTCAGGGTGTGCCCCTATGTATCTGTATGTATATGTATGTGTACCTGTATGAGTGTCATTCATTGTATCTGAATCTCAATGTATCTTTCCTGGTAAAATATTTTATAAATAAATAAATGTTATAAACCATGGGTCGTCAACCTGGTCCCTGCCGCCCACTAGTGGGCGTTTCAGGATTCCAGGTGGGCAGTAGGGATTTCAGAGATTGGGTGGGCGGGAGGGCGAGTGCGAGCCGGCGGTACCCCTGCGACCGGGTACCGCCGTCACCATTTGCGGCCCCGGCCCGCGTGGCAAACCGCCGGGGCCGCCGTCCAAGGGGTCCATCGGGTGGCCCATGCTGTCAGGGCCACCCGATGGATGTGGTTGAGAGGGGGCCCGGTCAGCGCTGGGCACTTTAACAGCGCGACCGGGCCCCCTGTTATTACATCACATGCTGGGAGGAAGTGACTGCACGTCACTCTTCCCAGCTAACAAACAGACCGCACGGGAGGAAGACCAGGGAGTCAGAGTAGGAACTCTGACTCCCATGCACCTGAGCCACCACTGGACCCCAGAGAAAGTCACCCTCCTGCACCTAAAAGGTAGGAAACAGGAGGGTTACTAAAATATTTTGTGTGTGTTTGTTTGTGTGTATGTGTCTTTGTATGTATGTCTTGTGCGTGTGTCTATGTATGTATGTCTTGTGTGTGTGTGTCTATCTGTATATATGTGTGTATGTATGTTTGTCTTGTCTTTGTACGTATGTGTGTCTTTGTATGTGTGTCTTGTGTCTGTCTGTATGTGTGTATGTGTCTATGCATGTCTTATGTGTGTGTCTTTGTATGTGTACCTGTCTGTATGTATGTGTACCTATCTGTTTGTATGTATGTGTGTGTGTGTCTGTATGTATGTGTGTGTGCCTGTCTGTGTATGTATGTGTCTTGTGTGTGTGTGTCTGTATGTGTGCCTGTCTGTTTTTCTGTATGTATGTATGTATGTATGTGTGCCTGTCTGTGTGTCTGTATGTCTGTATGTGTGCCTGTCTGTGTGTCTGTATGTATGTGTGCCTGTCTGTGTGTCTGTATGTATGTATGCGTGCCTGTCTGTTTGTATGTATGTGTCTTTTTGTGTGTGTGTGTGTGTGTGTGTGTGTGTGTGTGTGTGTGTATGTATGTGTGCCTGTCTGTGTGTCTGTATGTCTGTTTGTGTGCCTGTCTGTGTGTCTGTATGTCTGTATGTGTGCCTGTCTGTGTGTCTGTATGTATGTATGCGTGCCTGTCTGTTTGTATGTATGTGTCTTTTTGTGTGTGTGTATGTATGTATGTATGTGTGCCTGTCTGTTATAGTGGGCTATAGTAAGTGGGCTACCCAGCTAAGCCTTCCTACTGGGCATTGCTATAGGGAAGGTTAGGTTAAAAAATAGAAAAAAGGGATAAAAAAAAGGTGGGGAGGGGAATTGAGGAGGGAGATGAGATGAGCTGACGCACAGATGAGAAATCATATTATGCGCAAACAGAGAAGTCGTCTGAATATTACTGAAAGAGGAGACCTTCGTTTGTTCCTTACGAAAATCGAACCAGATATCAAATATTTAGTCTTGCAGCATCAGCCTCAAGGATCTCATTAATCACTAGTAAAGGTAATTTCAATTTACTTTATTGTTTTCCAATTAAACGTTATAAAGTTAAAAACATTATAAACATGCATTATGTAGAAATAAAAAGATAAATGTACATACATTTTTTTTTTTTAAAACACCCTCCTTTCTAAAAAATATTCTGCACTTGCGCGAAAACTGGTGGGCAGTAAGGAAATATTTCCATCAAGAGAGACGCATTAGTGGGCGGTAGGTAGAAAAAGGTTGACTACCACTGTTATAAATAAATAAATAGTGTCACCACTTTTTATGGATAGGCACTACTCTTGCAGTCTTCCAAAGTTTGGGTATGTATCCAGACACCAAGGATTCGTTAATTAGAGTTGCAACAGGTTTAGCAATTGCCGGCACACTGAGCTTTAACAGCATTGCTGGGATTTGATCAGGTCCGGACTGGTTTTTAATTTTTAGATTATTAAGATGTTTTTTAATAACACTAACAGGTACAGGTCTAAAAATAAACTTGTCTATATTGGGCCTTTGCAAATTTAGTGGGGCCTGATCCCCATTTGTAGTTTCAGGATGCGTGTAATTTATTAGATTGGCAATCAGGGCAGTAGAAAATAATTGTTAAAGGCATTTGCACGGGAGCGCACGTCCAGGAGCGCGTTGATGCTGATGCCCTGAAGGAGAGAGCCTGCAGAGGAGACCCGCTGGTTTGATGTCGGCACACATACCTGATTAAGCACCTCGCCAAGTATCCCCTTAACATCCATGTTAATATCACGGAAACGGCGCAAATAACAAATGCCACGAGACACTGGAGTTCTAAGTGTTAAGCCTGCCTGCTCCGAGATTACCTGAAAAAAGGAGTTAAAAGGAGTCGGTGTCGGTGAGAGCGTGGGGTAAGTCCCACGTGGACTTGCTCAATGTACTTCTCTCTTTCTTTCCTCTCTTTATTCTATGAAGTCTATATATAATATAAGGTATAGAGAGACAAAGTACAAAGGAAAGAAATAGATATAAAGGTGGAAGAAGGTGAAGGGGAGGCGAACAACTAGAAGGAATACAGATGGTTATAAATGAAAAGAAAGAAAAATCGGCAGAAAAGTAGATGGTGGAATTGCTACTGATAAATACATGCTAAAGAAATAAAGAGATGACAGTGAGAAAACGATTGATGAGCTTGGAAAAATCAGGTGTTACCTAATAAATTTTGGATGTACCCACACAGAGATCACTAATTAAGGCATACAACCTTAATTTTTGGCTGGACTAACTTCTCTCTGTAATTGTTTGAAGCCTAAAATCACTAAGAAGAAAGAAAGTGATAATAAGGAATGATGGTAAAACGACCAGAGAAAAAAAAAGAGAATAATAAGAAGGTTCAGTATATCAACATACTAAAAATAATAAAATCAAGATCAAGCATACCTGAAGTAATCAGGGCATTTGAATAAAAACTAGTCTTAAAGGGACACTATAGTCACCTGAACAACTTTAGCTGAATGAAGCAGTTTTGGTGTATAGAACATGCCCCTGCAGCCTCACTGCTCAATCCTCCGCCATTTAGGAGTTAAATCCCTTTGTTTATGAACCCTAGTCACACCTCCCTGCATGTGACTTGCACAGCCTTCCATAAACACTTCCTGTAAAGAGAGCCCTATTTAGGCTTTCTTTATTGCAAGTTCTGTTTAAGTAAGATTTTCTTATCCCCTGCTATGTTAATAGCTTGCTAGACCCTGCAAGAGATCCTGTATGTGGGCTCTCTTGAATTGACTAAAGTTGAATTTATAGATTGAGATAAAATTATTTAAGGTAAATTACATCTGTTTGAAAGTGAAACCAGTTTTTTTTTCATGCAGGCTCTGTCAATCATAGCCAGGGGAGTAGTGGCTAGGGCTGCATAAACAGAAACAAAGTGATTTAACTCCTAAATTACAGTGAATTGAGCAGTGAAATTGCAGGGGAATGATCTATACACTAAAATTGCTTTATTTAGCTAAAGTAATTTAGGTGACTATACTGTTCCTTTAATTCCAAACAATTAACCATAATATCAACAGCTGTAAATTACAGCATTTGAAGAAGCTTTAAAGATATATCCAGCGGGAAGATCCCTGACAAGGGAAAGGAGAAGGGGAAAAAAAAATAACTTTTTTTATTATTATTATTATTCCTCATGGCAACAAAAAAGGTTCAAGAGGGTAAACAACTCTCGAAGAGAGAGAAAAAAACAAATCAGGAAATTAAGCCAGAAAAAAGATTATCTGCCTCCACTCTGTCTCAACAACAGAAACAAGAGTCAGAGCAACAAAACGAAACAGACACCTCATTCCAAACAGTTAAAGAAACAGAAACAATGTCACCACAGAAGGCACTCCCAAAACAGGGCCAGAAAGAGGTTAATCTCGAAGAAATACATGATTATTTAGACACAGTTTTTGAACGTCAATTTGACAAGATCAAAAATGAAATACAGACGGGCCTTACGGAATTTAAATCCGAAATTCTATTGATAGAGAAGAAAGTAAAAATAAATGAAGAAAAAATGGAATCTTTAGAATATCAGCAAGCTATAACTGAAGATCTTCAAGAAAATGCTAAGAAAAGAATAGAAGATTTGGAATTAAAAATCGCTGACCTAGAAGATAGAACGAGGCGTAATAATTTAAGATTTAGAGGAATTCCAGAGTCAGTCACTAATGAAAAACTGCAAGATTACATTTTGGATCTTTTTCGACAATTAGACATTCAATTGATAAACCCCCTACAGGCTCTGGAGCGGTGCCATAGAATCATGAAACCGGATACAGTGGAACAAGGTGCCCCTAGAGATGTACTAATATGTTGCGCCTCATATAAGATTAAAGAACAATTATTAAGAACAGCAAGAATGACCAGATTAAAAGAACCATATAAAGATATTGCCATTTTCCTGGACATATCGAAAACCGTTTTCAGCATACACAAAGATATTAAGGCAAAAGAATATTCGATATTCATTGAGATATCCAAGCAAAATCGTGGTTTCTTATGAGGCAAAAACATATTCATTTTCTGATGTACCGGTAATAGAAAAATAGTTTAACCCCTTAAGGACACATGACATGTGTGACACGTCATGATTCCCTTTTATTCCAGATGTTTGGTCCTTAAGGGGTTAAAGACATGAACTTTGCTGTCACTATTTGAATAATCTGTATATATATACATATATATACGTGCTTTTTTTCGGAAAAGAGAGTATAGATTAGCCATTTTGAGTAGCATAATATGGTAGCTAGTCACAAGTAGTGATGTCGCGAACTGTCCGCGAACTTGCCGCGAACTCCGGTCAGCTGACACATCCCTGCCAATCTCCGGCAGACCCTCCCTCCCAGATCCTCCTTCTTCCTGGACAGCATCCATGTTGAAGGCAGCTTCAACATGGATGCTGTCCAGGAGGTGGGAGGGTCTAGGAGGGAGGGTCTGCCGGAGATTGGCAGGGATGTGTCAGCTGACCGGAGTTCGCCGCGAACGGTTCGTGGCGAACCGCGGCGAACCGTTAGCGGCAAGTTCGCGAACGGTTCGCGACATCACTAGTCACAAGGTGTAATGCACAAATAGATATTAAAAGGTATAGCAACAATAATTGTTATGAATAATATATGTAAAACACACGTCAGAATGCACAACCACGATTTATTCTTGTATGCTAGGAGTCAAGCATTAATCTTGCACTATATTTAAATTATAAAGTTTGGTTAAGAAAGAGTAAGAATATAAAAAGAACAGAATTCACAAATATCATGCACGAGATATAGATTAAAAAAGATAACTAACGTGTGAATACAATTGAAATTAGTAGAATTAGGAATTGACAAATGTAGCACAAAGGATAAAATTATTTATATTCACGGTTATGATTTAATTATTTAATTAAAGAGCTAAAGTAATAAATGGGAACTAGGCACAAAAGAATGCACTCTTAAAACAGGGCCAAAAAAAGGTTAATCTTGAAGAAATATACGTTTTAAATCTGCAATCCTATTAATAGAGAAGAATAGTAAAGATAAACGAAGGGGAATAGATTTTTTATTTTTTGTTGTTGATATTAATGAAAGAATTTATCTCTCTTTCATCGAGGTATTCAGCATCATACAATTGATCCTATCAGGGATCCAGGTGGAGGGTTTTGGTGAAAGGGGATATTCACAAAAACCATCCAGACTTCCTTAAAGGGTTGTTTTTTTGTATTTGTTAGTGTGTCGGAATTTGTTATAATGTTAAATGTTAGTCTTATATTGAAACAGCGACTTTTGTGGAGGGTAAAGGATATAGGAATGTATTCAGGAAAATTAATATTTATGTGTAAATACTTGAAAGTGAATAGAAGATATCTACGCCTTATTACTAGTTAAATGACACAAGTCATAGATTGGAGGATGCCTAGTATACTAGGTTAAACATTTTTTTGATAAATGGTAAATATTGTGACGTATCAACGTACAAGGTCTTAATTCACCACAAAAAAGGAAAATAGCGATCGACCGTATGAAAACAGAAAACGCCCATATTGTGTGTGTCTTCAAGAGACGCATTGGCGACAAGCTAATGAAGGGAAATTCAGATTCTTAGATTTTCCTCTCTCTGTTTGTTCATCATTTAAAGAGAAAAAGAAAAGAGGAGTAGCGATTTTATTTTCAGCTAAAGTAAACGTCTCCATAAAATATCAGAGTATAGACAAAATGGGCAGATGGATTATATTAATTTGTGGTATCGATGAAGAATTATATACAATAGTCAATATTTATACACCGAACTCTTCACAGATACAGTTCATACAAAAAGTCTTAATGAAAGTAGAAAAAAAAAATCCAAGCAAGGAGCTCTCATAGTTCTAGGCGACTTTAATTCCGTAATCGACCCCAAATTAGAGGTCTGAAAAAGGTAAAATACCCTCTAAGAATGTCTTTAATCAAGCTAAGAAATTGAGTAATATTATATAAAATGCAACTCTCTCAGACTGTTGGAGGATATTCCATCCTACCGATAGAGATTTCACTTGTTTTAGTAAGACCCACTGTTCGTATTCAAGAATTGATTTAATCTTAATAGAACGTAATTTGTTGGGCAGAATAAAATCTTCTAATATACTGTCTACCACCTGGTCTGATCATAACATGGTAAAGGTGCATCTGAAAGATAAATTTATTAGACAAAGACCAGAGTGGAAATTGGACAAGAAAATATTAATTCCGGAAGATAATAAAGAACAAATTGCTAAGGCAATAGATACATATTGGATAGAGAACGATAAGGATGGGGTATCACCTATGATAAAATGGTGTGCATTCAAAAGTGTTATAAGAGGTCACTTAATTGGTATGGCTGCGCACGAAAAAATAAGTAAAGGGAAATCTCTTTCAGAGTTATATATTGAATTAAGCGAATGCAATAAAATAAATATAACCTCTCCTATGAGAGCCCGAGCAAATCAAATAAGGATAATTGAAAGTAAAATTAATGATATTTTAATAGCTAAAGCTAATAGGAATTTACAATATATGAAAAACAATTTCTATTACAGGGGAAGTAAAGCTGATAAACTTCTTACTAACAGAGTTAAAGCACATCAAAAGGCCAAATTAATAAATAAAATAAAACAAGGCAATGATGTAATAATTGATCCAGTCAAAATTGGGGCGGCCTTTAAAGAATATTATGATTTATATAACCTACCAGTAACAGCAACTCAAGAAGATCCACAAAAATATTTTTTAGATAAGCAGCTGCCCAAATTAACGAACTCCCAACTAAACAAACTGAATGAAGACATTTCAGCTGAAGAAATTATAGAGGCTATTGATGCAATGAAAAAAAATAAAGTGCCAGGCCCAGATGGGTTTGAAGATTTTTTTTTAAAAAATCTACAAAGATAGGCTCGTTCAGGGTTTAAGGGAATGCTATAATACAGCTAAGTCCACGGGGAAACTGCCAAATGAGATGTTAGCAGCCAATATTGCTCCTATACTTAGACCAAAAAAAAATTCAGAAGACATTGCCAACTATAGGCCGATAGCTTTATTCAATAACGATTATAAAATGTATGCATCAATTATATCTAAAATAATTAAAAGTATAATCTCGAGTTTAATATCAGAAGATCAAGTAGGATTTGTCCCCGGGAGAACATCGTCTAATCATATTAGGAAAATTATAAACATTTATGCTAAGGTACATGCCACAAAAAAAACCTTTTTCACTAAGGCGCTCGATGGAGAGAAAACCTTCGATCAGGTTAACTGAAATTATATGAAATCAACTTTAGAGGCCTTTGGCTTCTCAGGACAGATCCTTTCGGCAATTATGGCCCTCTATTCCTCTCCATCGGGCAGGACAGTGGGAGGGGGAATCAGGTCTGATTGGTTTGAGATTTCAAACGGTACACGTCAGGGCTGCCCACTTTCCCCACTTCTTTACATCATGGTGGGGGAACCACTTGCTCATGACATACGTTTGAATATTAATATAACAAGCTTTTGTAAGAAGGACAAAGAGTTAAAGATAAGTCAGTATGCTGATGATATTTTGATAACACTATTGAATCCAGCTCACTCGGTTCCAGCAGTAATGGAAGAAATAAATCAGTTTAGTTTTCTTACAAATTATAAACTTAACATTCAAAAAACAGTGGTATTGCCTATATATTTGGATTTGGCTGAATATAATTTCTTAAATAAACAATATGATTTTAAATGGGAGAAGAAAAGCTTTGTCTATTTGGGGATAAATATAGTATATGACCCTGTAAACATTATGAGAGCTAATCTAATCCCTTTGATAAAAGAAACTACTCATCTCCTTAAACAATAGAGTAAACTTGAGATATCCTGGTGGGGAAGAGTTAATTCTATAAGGGCTTATATCTTTCCTAAGATTATTTACTTATTAAGGATGATTCCGATGCCGATACAACCCCACTGGCTAACAAATATCAATAAGTTCTTTAGAAATTATATTTGGCTTAACAAGAAGCCCAGAATAGGACAAGACCTTATTTATCTCTAATATAAACAAGGGGGAACAGGATTTCCTAATAATTTTGTATCACCAAGCTGCCCAGCTGCTGCATACAGTAGCTACAATTAATCAGGATACACACCCACAAGCTTGGCATGAATTAGAGGGAGAAGATATTTCGGAACCATACAACATGGTTAAATTGTTGTGGCCCATAAGAATCCTTGCCCGTAATAAACATAAGCCATGTCAAACAGACAACATAATATTAAAACCCCAGGTTAAATTCTGGACTTATTTCAAAAAACAAATAGATTTAAAGGATACAATTTTGCCTGCATTACCGTTCAGATACCTGATGAAGTGGATAGAAAATTTAGATGTCAGTCAGTGGACTAGACATGGCATTAACAAAATTTCAGATCTATTTGACGAAAAGATTATGTCCTTTAATGATCTGCGCACTGTCTTTAGCATTGCGACTTCTCAGAATTTTAATTTTATTAGAATAAAAAGCTTCCTACATAGTGTTATACCTTATTTGAATGAGCATTCTCCAATTTTTAAATTAAATAAGTTGATAAACTCAGAAAAAAACACAAAGATATTAACAAAATGTGTTAGTATTTGTTTGTGTGTGAAAAATGCAAAAAACGCCAATTTTGGCCAGTGTTTGTGACTAAGTGGCTACTAAAAAAGACTGGACATACCCTGTTTGCAATACCTTGGGTTGTCTACTATTGCAAATGGTATGCCATCATAGGGGTCATTTTCATTCTTGGGCTACCATAGGGTCTCAAAGGCAATGTAACCAATCTGGCGAATTTTAATGTGAAAAAAATGAAACGCAAGCCTTATATTTGACGCTGTAACTTTTGAAAACACCATAAAACCTGTACATGAGGGGTACTGTTGTACTCGGGAGACTTCGCTGAACACAAATATTTGTGTTTCAAAACAGTAAAAAGTATCACAGAAATAATATTGTCCGTGTAATGCTGTTTGTGCATGAAAAATGCAAAAAACTTCACTTTTACTGGCGATATCATCATTGTAATACATTTTACTGTTTTGAAACACTAATATTTGTGTTCAGAAAAGTCTCCCGAGTAGAACAGTACCCCCCATGTACAGGTTTTATGGTGTCTCGGAAAGTTATAGGGTTAAATATAGTGCTAGCAAATTAAATTCCCTTTACTTTCGGCATGGGTTGTCAGGCAGGTCCTGCTAATTGTAATTAATTAAGATACCTAATTATGTAAAAATAATACATAAATATATATGTAGAATTAATATATGTATATATCTATATAATTGAAAAAATTGTTTTTATTTATATATAGGTATATATATAGTGATATATACGTATATATTTATGTATATAGATATATATTATTTCGTTCTACGTGTATTTTGATATATATATATATATATATTAATTTCACAATACAGTTAGAACGAAATAACACACATCTATATATTTTTTAATATTTATTT